GCGCATTTTATGAGCTTTACTAAGGGCGTTATGAATGAATCAAAAGTATTTAACATACATTATTGCGACCTCGTTCATTTTGTTGCTGAATCGTGCTCTCTGTATAGTATTGCATTTTATTCAAGATATTATGACTCCAATAGACAAGAAAGTTCAGAGAAGTTAGATGAAGGAAGAAATCAAGATACAAGTGGAGAATTGCTAAACAACTATTGTTCTCGAGAAGCAAGTTGGAAAATGTGTGAAAACCAATGAACATGAACGTAGAGTATTAATTAATGGTTATAGAGATTCCTCCATACGAACTTAGACCAATGGGAAACAAGACAGATTATTAAGAGAGAATTTAGAGGAATATGGAACTCGCTAAGATAGATTTGAAGGCTGCAGGAAAAGAAGTTAAAAGTTTTGGTCGTTTTGATACAAAATTGTGGTAATGAACCATTTTATTTTTATATGAATTTTTGCAACAAAATTCTTGAGTAACTAATTTTAGCGGCTCGACGCCGGCATGTGTCAAAACCGTGAAGTTTTCACAGAAAATTTAAAAAAAGTACGAAGTTACCATGTGAAGACGTATATTAATAACTAGGAAGAGGTGAGAAAACAGGTGACATCTCACCTAGCCGCTTTGGCTCTGACCCTTTGGGTCTCTTTCACCTAAATTATATTTTAGGTCAAAGCTTCCACGAGAGAAAAGATTCCTCATTCGCTAAGGATTCCAAAAATGAAAAAATCATTGATTTCGGCTGAGAAAAAACAGCAAAACCCTTCTTCCACGGGAACAAAGAAATAAAGAAGAAATAAAGTAAATTTTTTATTTATTCCCGTGGAAGATAGAGCACTTTTATGACACTTTTTATTCACGACAAACAAGACAAATAAAGAAAATAAGAAAATACGGCGCTGTCGCGGTTCGAACCACAGACCTTGACCCCTCCATAACACCACCTTAGACCACTGTGCTACGTAGCCTGTCGACATAAGATTTTATAAATTGCATATTTGACGTAAATTTATTTCCATCTGGCTTCCCACTGCATAAGATATTCATACGTGTTTGTAAGACATTCATTAAACTTCTTTTCTATTGCATCTAATCTTGCGTTATTTTTTTCAATAACTTGTCTGTATTCTTCATCATCTCCAGCAGTGTTTGGGTCTTCACGTTTAAAATATTCATTGTTAACCAATTTTTTATCTACAAATTTTATTAGTGTTTGATTCACTTCGTTATGATAACGGTCATATTCTTTCAATACGTAAGTGAAGACAAAATGCGTCGTACCTTCAATCTTAAAGCTTAAAGAACTTTCAACACAGTTTTGAGGGTCTGTCAGTGCGTCAATGAGATAGTATTCGAAGTCAGTCAATAATCTTTTTAAAGTCATTTCATACAGGATAAAATTTAATGTTGTGAAGAAATAGTGTTTATCTCAGAAAAAATAAAGTTAGTTTTTATTTTATTTATTTTTTTATCCTGTATGTAAGAACAGTAATGTCAACATTAGAGAACACAACAACTGCTATCGTTCATGAAGCCATAAATGAAGAATACGAATACATACAATATAACAAACAATTGAGACTCATTCGTTCAGTCAAAGATGATATGTATCAAATGCAAAGTATAATGAACGCTCTTCGTTCTACAAAGCAAGCATATCATTGGTTTGAAAACCAACAGGCAAAAGAACTTTTAGAAGAATTTCCTCATATGATTGCTTCCCTCGGAAAACCGAGGGAAGAGATTCCGTACGAAAATCGCAAGAATTTGGCACCTGGTTTGAAAGGTTATTATGTTCATAGACTTTTAGTAAATGCTGTAGCAATGTGGGCTTCACCTCGTTATGCTTGTTATATTTTCATGATGTTAGATGAACTATATAAAGCAGAACGTGGAGAGATGGAAAAGAAACTTCAAGCAAAAGATGAAGTCATTGAATCCAAAGACAAAAGCATACAGAAAAGAATACCACGTTCAGTACCAAAAGGAAAGGAAAAGAGTTATAAGTATATGATTTATACTGAAGAGTTGGAGAAAGAAGAAGATAGAGATATGGTTATGTTGCATTTAGTCAGAAGAAACAACAAAAGCTTTTACGACCTTGCTAAAATATATAAATCTGACAGAAACTGGTTCTATCGTGAAAACTTACCGATTTCAATGACACCGAATGAGCAAATAAAAGAAATTGTCAAAAATACTCTTCCTCAAACACACTATGACATCAAAGGTTGCACAATACTTACCTTCAAAGAAGACTTAACATTACTGAAGGAAAAAATAACAGAATATTTCGATAACTTCAAAGAGGAAGAATGAAGTCACGACAACATTAACGAAGAAGTCACGACAACATTAACGAAGAGAGAATGAGGTGAAAAAACAGGTGATATCTCACCTCTTACCACCAAAAATATATTTTTGGTTAAATAGCTTCAGGGTCAATTTCTTCAACCATTTCACTTCCTTCGTCAATGTCAATTGAAGCTTCTTCAACCTTTGGTAAGAACTTTTGTATAACATCTTTGTTCGTTATTGTCTTCAGAGATGAAGGATAATATTTCACAGATGTTTCACCCTTCTTATATTCTTTCTGTTCGGAAAGATTCATAGCAATACTGAAGAAGTCAATGTTGGAGTTCTTTATGACAGTATAGTGTGTATCTTTGACATTCACGAAGAAACCCTTTTGTTTCAAAACTACTGCTAACTCTTGTGAAGTATAACGTTTGCGGTCAATGACGATAGCTAATGGTCTGACATACTGACCAAACTTAGATTCTTTCACAAACTTCTTGTTAAAGATAACATTAACGTTTGAAGCATTATTGAACTCATTCTTGATGGCAGTAGCGAGAGCATTGTATGAAAAGAACTTGCAATCTTGCATGTGTTTCATTAAAATAAAAATATTAAATTATTTTGAAAAATAACTTAAAAAAAATCTAATCTAATTTTTTCAAAAAATATTTTTTTATTTCCTACTAAAGATGTATCGGAAGTTGTCTAAGTTAGAACACTCGGAAATAAAACAACTTCTTACAGAAGCTAATATAGATGTTGCAAAGCATTACGCAACAAACAAAAAAGCACTCGCTGACTTCATTAAAGACTATAATGGTGCAATAAGTTATGATAGAATTCATGAGTTCATAAAGCCGCAACGCGGCGAGGACGAAGTCCATGCAAGAGCATTTCCTTTAAATGACATTGCTATTGACTTATATCATAGACGTTCAGTACCTCATGAAGTAAGAAGAGAGATGTTTGACATAACAAATGCAAACGTTGGTGAAACAAGAAGAGCTGTACCTCATGAAGTAAGAGAGAGATGTTTGACATAACAAATGCAAACGTTGGTGAAACACGAAAGAGAGATGACACACTGAAACAACAGAGAAGAGAGATGTTTAAAAGTGCTATAGAACAAGTTCGCAAAGCTAACGATGTCATTCGTTCCATTGACGACAAACCAAAAGAAGGTGAGAGATGGTTAAAGAAAGATGAAGAGAATAGGAAGAGAAATGTGAAGTCAGGCAATAGACTCATTGACTTTAACATCGAAGCTTTAGATGAACCAAACAGAGACTACTTACACAAACATTTCGGTAAGGTTTTCATGAGACTCTTAGAGAAAATTAAAATAAACTCGCAACAGAGATGGATGGTATGTTATAAACTTGGTGGAAAGTATGAATGTTCTACGTTAAACCTCAATAATATTGGAACATTACTACATCAGCTCTTGAAGGAGAACTTTATATCAGAGATAGAAGCAAATGCTGCAGGTATTGTTGAAATGCACTATGACTTCTTCTTGACAAACATAAAGAATCTTACCGAAATAAAGATGTATGATTTAACAGAATATGAAGGCTTAACGATGTCAGATGTAAAGAAAGGCAAACCAAAAAAGAGACCATATAGAGATGAAAGCACACTGACAAATGACCAGAAAGCCATTTTGGAAGCTCTTAAGCAAACAGGAAACCCAGCACTTATAGAAAGCTTTTGGAAAGATAATGGTGAAAAGAAGTTTTATAAGAAGAGAAGCGGTCAGTTCTGGAAGTATCTTTGCACATTACCTATAAATCTTGAACGCTACCAAATCTTCAATGAACTGAACAAAAGAACTGCAACACTTATGACAGAGGACAATTGTTTCGTTTATGCTTGCATTCAGGCTGGAGTAAATGAAGAAACTATTGACCACATGAGAGAAGTCATTCGTGTTAGAGACTTTCCTCAAAGTAAAGTACAAGAAATTTCCGATTCAACAGGTATAGCATTTAATGTTACCATTGGTTATTTCAATGACTCAAGACATAATGAAATAAAGAGATATATACCAAAAGAATGCGAAACTGTTAGAACTATTGACTTACTTCTTGTTGAAGACCACTACATGCTAAATGAAAGATTACCAATGACAACATACTTCATTCGAAACTATATAGAAATCTTGAAGGAGTGTGGTGGAATGAACATTGAGAAACAGATGAAGATTTATACAAAGAGAGAAGATAAATATGTAGTTCGTTATGATAGAACAACACCGCTATGGGATGTTATGAAAACATTGTGGGAGTGCAAATATTTCGAACCTATTTCTTATGGAGAACTTTTCACATATACTACTGACTTATATAAACAGAACCTTGCACCATTTAAAGATTTGACATATGCTCCAAAGTATTGTGTACAACTGAAGAAGAAAGCAGAGTCAAAAGAAGTAAATAAAGCTAAATGTAAATTCATTCCTGAGCACGTTTTCTTTGCTGACTTTGAGTGTAGCACAGACGGCTTTCATAAAGCTTTTAACATCTGTTATGACAGTGAAGATGGTTCAGTGAGTGAAAGCATTTGGGGTCAAAACTGTGCAACAGAATTTTTGGAAAGACTTCCTGACAAGAGTTTAATATATTTCCACAACCTCAGTTATGACATAAACTTCATCTTAAGACACATGACAGAAGTGAAAGGAACTCCCATCATTAAAGGTTCACGAACAATGCAAATAACTGGTTTATATAAAGGACGGGCAATTATTATAAAAGACTCTTACAGTGTTATAAATAAGAAGCTTAAACTATTTCCTGCTATGTTTAACTTACAAACAGGACCGAAAGAAGTATTTCCATATAACTACTACAGCAGTGTTTTGTTAGCAAATGACAACAGAACTGGTGTCATTTCTGAAGCATGTAAGTTTATCCATGATGCAGATACATTCATGAAAAACATAGATTCCATCAAAGGTTGCAGAATAGATGAAAACCACTTCGACTTAGAAAAATATAGCACGTTTTACTGCAAACAAGATGTAAGAATTTTAAGAGAAGGTTTTGTAAAGTTCCGCAATGACTTATTGAAAGAGTTTGATTTAAACGTTTATGACTACGTTAGTATTTGTTCTATTGCTAACAAATTGTTTGAGAACAGAGTATACTTCCCGAATGGAAATCTTTATGACCTCTCAAATAAACCAAGAGAATTTATTTCGAGATGCATTCAAGGTGGAAGATGTATGTTGTCAGATAACATGAAACAAAAGAGCAAAAAGAAACTCATTGCTGACTTCGACACTGTTTCATTATATCCTTCAGCTATAGCAAGACTTTATACTTTAGAAGGTATTCCAAAAGTATTGAAGGAAGAAATGTTAAGCACAGAGTATCTCATGAGACATTTATTCGATGATGACCAAAAGGAACCCATTGGTGAAAAGTTTATGTCTGGCTTCTTTGTTCTCATTAAGATAACAGAGATTGGTATACCCAGACACTTTCATTTAATAGTTTGCGACCCTGAACTAAATCCAGAACTTAACGTTCCAAGAAGTTCAAACACTTGCTGTCTCATGTATGTTGACCATATAACATTACAAGACCTCATAAAATATCAATGTGTCAAATGTGAAGTGTTGCAAGGATACTATTACGATGGAAACAGAGATATGAGAATAAGAGATGAAGTAAAGAAGTTGTTTGAGTTAAGGTTAAAGTATAAGAAAGAAGGAAACCCCTTACAAGAAATTATAAAACTCATTCTGAACAGCATTTATGGCAAAACTATTCTATCTCCTATTGAGTCAAAAATAACCATAGTAAATGACAAAGATGCTATAAGATATGCTATAAGAAATTACAACCATATAGTGAAGTTCGAAGGTTTGGATGGTTCAGATAAAACTATTTTCAAGCTAACGAAAAGCATTTGCAGACACTTTAACTTCTGTCCACTTGGTGTTAATATTCTGTCTATGTCAAAACGTATTATGAATGAAGTATTCTGTACTGCTGAAGATATGGGTCTTCAAATCTTTTACCAGGATACCGACAGTATGCACTTATATAATGAAGACATACCAAAGCTTGCAGCAGAGTTTAAGAAGAGATATGGTCGCGAACTTATAGGAAAGAACCTTGGTCAATTTCATAGCGACTTTGCAGAAATAACACCTGGAAAACAAAGTTTAGCTTATAAAAGTATTTTCTGTGGAAAGAAGACCTACATAGACTTACTCACTAACGATTTAAATGAAGTTGCATTTCACTGCAGAATGAAAGGCGTGAAGCAAGATGTTATTGCTTTAACCGCTAATGAAATGTTTCCTGAAGCTATACAATGCTATTACAATGAAGATAAGAACATTCACATACCTGTTGGAACATATGACAAAGACTCTGAGTTCAGTTTAATGAAACTTTACAAAGCACTTTATGATGGTCAAGAGATTGCATTCGACTTATGTAAGTCATGTCAACCTTGCTTTGCTGAAAAGTTCAACTTTTCAATAACGACTAAAACAAGCTTTATTCGTAAGTTGAAGTTCTGAGGTCATGGGCTTCGCCCTTGCCGCTAGCGGCTTATTTTTGTCAGCAATGAGGTCATGAATGAGGTCATGGGCTTCGCCCTTGCCGCTAGCGGCTTATTTTTGTCAGCAATGAGGTCATTCGTGATAAAAATAAAGCTAGCGTAGATTTTACAATACTGCGATGGTAGAGTTTAAGAGTTGTGCTTCAATGTAGAGACAGTCCTTCCCTGGAGGCAAGAACACTGGACATTTATGGTCATGAGTGGAGAACATGTCTATCCAAAACTCACGATTGAAGCCAGTTAATTTATAGTATTTAGGGTTAGGAAGTGGTGAAGTTCTTGTATGACCAATGAACTCATTTTCAACGCCTTTGGCTATATTAGAGTAAAGTATTGCTTGCTTTCTATCCCAAATGCCAGGTGTTACAATCTTTGAAAATTCATTTTTCCTCGGAAGCATTGCATCATAATTGAAAACATTCTTAAAATCATCACTTGGTTCGGAGATTTGAAATCTTATACGTAATGGATTTTCTTTCTTTTTAGCGACTTCATTGAATGGTGAGAATACAATGAATTGACAGTCATGTGTTCCATCTTCATTTTCATTAAATTCATAATGAAAGTCTATAAGTTGTGGCTGACTACCTTCTTCCTTCAGTTGTGCAAGAAACTCACGTAAAGGCTGTAAAGTTTGTACTTCAATGTTGAACTTTTTCTCGAACATCTCATTAAATGAAATCATACATTGCAACAATGTTGTATCGTCTTTAAAGTATTTGTATATGTGAATGTTTTGGGCGCTTAAAGACTGTTCGTCATTTTCTATCTCGACTTGAAGTATAAAGTCAACCTTTCTGAAAGCACGTGTTATATACATAGATGTTATGCCAATGTACTTCTCTTCATTTATGTTCACAATCCAGTCTGTTGGAAACTTAAACGTTACTCTGTTCCCCTTTATTTTGACGTCAGGGTTTTCACTACTGAACGCAACAGATAAAGGTATTTGTCTATACATTTAGTTTGGATAAAAATAAACCATTTACTCTTTCTTTGCTTCAGCTTCCTTTGCTTTTTGTTCTTCCTTTGCTTTTGCTTCTTCTCTAGCTTTTTTCGCCAGCAAACGTGGGTTCTTCTGTCTTCCAGCAGCTAATGCAGCTAGTTGTTTTTCACTAAGTTTTCTCTTTGGTCTCTCTGGCTTTTGTTCTTGTTTTTGTTCCTTCAGTTCGGATAAAATTTGCTCGCGAATTTCTTTCTTCAATGCTTCAACATCTATGACCCCTTGGGTCTTGTCCATATGACTTGTCTGAGTCATTTGACTGTAGATAAAAAACTAACTTAAAACTTTAACCGATGTAAAATGAGCTTGTCAAAATCAGAGCGAGAGTCTATTATATTAAATGACGCAAGAGGAATACAACATCCTTTCTATTACGTAAGTCAGAGTAAAGATGGTAAAATATACGTAAGAAAAAGAAAGGTACCATTAGCGAATGCAGAGAGCGACAACATTAAGGTGCATGGCAAGGGTGAAGTCCACGAAGCCCATATAAAACCTTCTGTTCAAACTGAGCCACCAAAAAACAAGAAGAAAAGAAGCCAGATGTACTTTCAATAACGAACCAAGAGCTTATTGCAAAGTTCGTGAATTTCATTGAAAAACAAACCGAGTCAAAGAACCCTGACCCGCCAGTGAAAGAAGTTGAGACAAAAGAGAATGTACAGTTCATTGAAAATGTCAAGAAACAACTTCCACCACGAATACCAAGAAGAAGAGTGAGAATAATGAAGTAAATAGATATTTTTATCTGAAGTAAATACATGCAGAACGAACAGTTAAACGAATTTACTCCAGCAGAGCATATTCATCAGATTCGCTCATATTTCGATATCATAGACAATGCAGTTCAAATTGGTGACACTAATAGAAAATATTCTGACGCAAAGATTCCATCACAACCTGGAACTGCTAAAGATAACACATGGGTAACATTCAATCTCTCACCTCCTGGTGAAAATATGTTGGACCTTTACAATACATTCATTACGTATAAAATGGAAGGTCAATTTATTGTAGATAAAGAAATTGGTTCAGGTTCCAATAAAACAAACCCACCAGGATTTTGGATTGGTTTCGATGACGCTTTCTATGCAGTTGCTGGATATCAAATCCTTGCAAATGGTCGTATCGTATATTCTCAAGACAACGCAAGAGAAGAAGCATATATAACTTCAAACTCACAAACTACCGAACAAATAAAGAAAGTAGATGTTTTTTCAAAGACTCGACATGAAGATGTATGGAGTCATTCGGGAACATGCAGAACAGGACAAATTGTTAGTGGTCCAATTACAGCAGGAAAATCATTTGATTTTAAGCTTCGTTTAAGAATTCCTGTTAGAAGATTCCTTCCATTAGAAGCTATTCGATTTATTCCAGCTTTTGCAGGAAACATTCAGCTTAAAGTAAAGTTCAGTAGCGACGCCTTACAATGCACATCTATATCTGTAAATGATATCATTGCTTTCAATCCAACTCTTAAAGTTGCATTTGCTTCAGATTCAAATCCACCGACAAATAAATTTGTTCCATGGAATGAACCATTCACTATGATAACGAAGGCAGTAGAAGCTAGTGGAACAGTTACTATTACAACTGTAAACCAGCAACTATTTCGAACAAAGATGGATTTTAATGAATGTTTCATTCATCCAAAGTCATTCTCTTTAGACCCTAACATTTATACAGAACTTGTAGAACATTATACAAACGAGGCTTTATGTTTTCCTGTTAAAGTTATGGATTGGATTCCTATGGACGGTTCATTCTCAAAGAATACAGATAGTTCAAGTGCAACATTTACAGCAGCTTATACGCCTATTAATGTTAAAAGTATTTGGGCACTATTTAGAAAGAAAGACAACTATTATGTTAATTTTGAGAACCCTAAGTTTAAATATCTTCAGCTTTCCATGGGAGCTTATGGAAATATGCCTGCAGAACCTGAAAAATCATATGGACCTGTATTTTATGAAATGGTTGCGAACGCTTGCAATACAAACAATGATATGATTGGATTTAATGAAGATGTTATGAGGTCATTGGTGGATGATGGTAGTGTGGAACATAAATGGGATAGCTATGACAACACACATTTCTTATGTGGTTTTCCAACAGAAGTGGACTTTTGCTTCCAGCAAGGTCAAACATCTACTGCTCCAATAACATACAAATTGTCTGTTAAAGGACCTATTGAACTAGCAACTGAAAACGTACCAAAGCCACTTATTGGATTTATGAGGATTGTTGCTTTGCAATACAAGTAAGACAGTCAGGCATACCAATAATAAGACTTGACGACTATAACTTAGCCACGGACGACAGTGAGGAATAAAGGATGAACGTTTATTTTTAAAGCTTATAAATGAGTTCTTCATCAAGCTCTCGTGAACCTTCACCATCTATGAAACAAACTTTACCAAACGATTATGGAGCACCTATTGAATATTTCTTACGAGCTGCACAATGGCAAAGAGCAGTCTCACCAAGGTTAGGTGTTCCACCAGCTCCTGTCAAAAATAGCATTTGGTCAAGTCCTTATATAAAATATGGTCTCCCACTAGGTTTGCTAGCTACAGCAGGAGCAGTAATGATGTTGAAAAGAAATAAAGCAAATGTTATAAATAATACTGAAGTAGCTGAATTTGAACAAACTCCGACACCATCGCCAAAACCAACGTCAAAACCAACGCCTTCACAAACAACACCTTCAATGACTCCTGAACCTATGAAAGTACAAACTCCTGTTCAAAAGTCAACTCCAAAACCGACTCCAACATTTAAACCAGAACCTACTCCTCAAATAAATCGTAAAACTCCTGCGTTTCCTTACTGAAAAAATAATGTTAGTTTTATTTTATTTGAACATTTTATTTAGAGTAAAATGACGACTAAAGTCACTGAAGCAATGAAACAAAAATTTTTGGTAGAATACATTAAATCAGGAGCGGTTCCAGAAGGTTTTTACGTTCATACTATGAAGGATGGTAGAGTTCAGTTTAGAAAGATAAAGCAACCATTAGATCGAGAAGGTATATTAAGGAAGATTAAACTTCATGAGGACAACATTGCTGAACTTAGGAAGAAGTTAGAAGAGTTGGAGAAAGGAAGAGAGTTATAAAGCAATGAATTCATGAGGTGAGAAATTAGGTGAAAAAAGAGGTGAGATTTCACCACTTCACCTAAATTTATTTTTGCGCTATGTTTTCATACGTGTGAGGGTGGTGATATCATTAATTTTAAGTTTATTTTTATATAAATGACAGAACAAAAATATAACATTTCTACTCAGCAGGAATGAGACCCTTACTGACTATGTATTCGTTTAATGCTTGATGAAAACAATGGTACATATTATCGTATGGGTATACACAACGTCTGTTTCCATCGTCGTCGTATATGTAGAGCTCAAATCCAGTCCAACCTTCTTTTGTACAATATGTAGCTTTATTTAAGTATGCATTTATGTAGATAAGGCAATTTTCTTCATCGCTCCAGAAATAATTTTTCGTCATTGTTGAAATAGTTTTCGTTCCTCTACGTCCATAAGGAATGTATGCAATGAACTTTGCGTCATAAGGGATTGTAATATATTCAGGGTTTCTTTCATCGTCAATGGGTCTGTCTTTGTTAAAATGCATGTTTCTCAGTTTTACTTGAGTTTTGAATAGTTCACGGAAACGTTCTGGGAAAGAGTCATAGTAAATGTAGTCGGACATGTCTTTGTAATGAAATAAAAAATTTAAAAAAATAAAAATAAGGTTATTTTTTATTTAGTGAGGACGGTAGTGAAGTCGTTAGTGAAGTCGTTAGTGAAATCATTAGTGAAGTCGTTTATGTGTCAGATAGTTTTGTAAATATTTAAGGTTAAGTTGGTGTTACGGTTGTGTTGTAAAATATACGTTACTGGTTTCGTAAAGTGTCAAAACCGCTAAGTGGTGTACGGAGGCGCGCAGTGCCGCTGTACACGACTTAGGGATACTAACTAAGAACTGAGAAGGATCGTCGAATGACTCCTCTGGAGCATTCCATGTAGAGGATATCATGATGTATCTTCCCTGGCAGAGACCACCACTGCCATACTTCTTGCTTGGATCCTTTCTTGTGCGGCCATCATTCCTGTACATGACACCGTGTGCGAATACTTCATCTATATACTTCTTTGCACCCCATGGAAGACCCATCCACCAACCTGGTGTCTGAAGGATAACTACATTTGACCACATGATCTTAGAGACTTCCTCTTCGATGTTGTAGCCATCTGCTATATTTGTGATCTTGACTTCATGACCTTTAGACTCAAGATACTTTTTTGCTTCTTCTGTGAGAGATGTATTCAACTTTCCTCCTGAGTGTGCGAAGTTGAAACCTGCGTTAAGGATGAGAACCTTTGCTGTCTTAAGACTCATGTCTTGATGAAAAATGATCTATTTTCAATGCATTTCAATTTTATTTTCAAAAAATTTTTACCCATTCAAATCGCTTTGAGGAACTGAATGATTGTAAACTATTCAATTGTTCAATAACTCAATAAATGGGATTCCTATGGATTCAATAGTAGCTATGAATATTATACAATTATGCCCTATTTTAGTTTGAAAATAACTAATTTTCAACGATTGTCCGGTCATAAGTTTTGAGACGAACATAAAATTTTGTGATAATATTGAAGGGAACAAAACATTAAGCAGAATATATCTATTGAAATTATTTATAAGAAAAATTGAATAGTTTACAATCATTCAGTTCCTCAAAGCGATTTGAATGGGTAAAAATTTTTTGAAAATAAAATTGAAATGCATTGAAAATAAATCATTTTTCATCAAGACATGAGTCTTAAGACAGCAAAGGTTCTCATCCTTAACGCAGGTTTCAACTTCGCACACTCAGGAGGAAAGTTGAATACATCTCTCACAGAAGAAGCAAAAAAGTATCTTGAGTCTAAAGGTCATGAAGTCAAGATCACAAATATAGCAGATGGCTACAACATCGAAGAGGAAGTCTCTAAGATCATGTGGTCAAATGTAGTTATCCTTCAGACACCAGGTTGGTGGATGGGTCTTCCATGGGGTGCAAAGAAGTATATAGATGAAGTATTCGCACACGGTGTCATGTACAGGAATGATGGCCGCACAAGAAAGGATCCAAGCAAGAAGTATGGCAGTGGTGGTCTCTGCCAGGGAAGATACATCATGATATCCTCTACATGGAATGCTCCAGAGGAGTCATTCGACGATCCTTCTCAGTTCTTCGAGGGCCGCCATGCAGAAGGTGTCTGGTTCAATGTATACAAGGCATTCGAATTCTGCGGATTCGAAAAACTCAAACCAGTGACATTCCACGATGTGATGAAGATGCCTGACTTCAGCAAGTACATCGAACACCTACATCAACACTTAGATAATGTTTTCATTTAAATAAAAATTGAACAGTTTTTTTTCAAAATTTCTTATTTTGCTTCGATTCTTCCCATTATGATGAAGGAAAATCATTAACAGTCTTTTCATTATCTTCACTTTAATGAACATAACATATTTCTTATAATTTAATGAGAAATTTAATTTTATTTATTTATTAACATTTGGAGTACATTTACTAAGTTTTTATGATACATTTATCCGGGAATCAGACTTTTTATGAATAAACAAAGCACATGATAAAATTTGAAAAAGACAAGAACACGCTTTGTTGTTTGTAAATAGCAAATGCATATATTATAGTATATTATAAGATAGGAGTTATGATTTTTATCTCATAAAAATCGAAAATAATAAAAAAGTCGCAGAATTTCAGCTCCTTGAAAATAATTTAAAAACCGATTTTTTAAAAATGTATTCAAAATAAGAATATTGACCAATTTCAATCATAAAACAGGTTTCTATCTTTTAAATTCTTTTTGACAAAATCTGAAAATGAGCTCCAATTTCGAAAATGACATCAGTGTTAAGTATTCTATTATTTATACGATTTCATTTCAAAAACGAAATTTTGTTTTGAATTAAAATTAATCGTTAACCGTCATTTTTAAGAAATCATAAGATATCTTATTATATGATTATTTATTATCATTTAATATTTTGAAACAATTTCTATAATTTTGATTTTCGCGACTTTAAAATTCTCATGCTTTTCTCAATACTTGCCTTTGCAATATCAACTCCTGAATTCATAAACTTAACAGAACAAAGACAAGATGTTCCATTCAACATCGATATCAACTCAGAGGCTAAACTTTCTGCTTCTAAAAATTCTGCATTTTTTATTTATAATCCAGAAGGCTTTACAGTCGAATATCCAAACGGTACAATAAAAAATTTGAACCATACGTTATATATACAAGTTCATGAAAATAGAAATCCAACATCTGATTTCATTATCCGTTGCGAAGGCAGAAAAACACTTCGAGTCGTGTTATTTTCGATTAAATACTTTTTAATGAACGATAAATATTACATATTAATGAATACATGGAAAGAAATTGTATTTACCATCAACCGACAGCATATTTTACAGTGGCCATTTACATGATTGGATGAAAGTCAGAGTTTATGTTGTTTCTGATGTTCCGTGCAATATAACTTATTATCATGGACTAGATGTAATATTTCCAGCCCCATTGAATATATATTCATCTTCCCTGAATCCATATACAGGTGTATTAGGTACTGATCCAGAATTCACTCTTAACAATGTTTATTTCTCTTACTTTGAAATCGCAGGAAACTTTTCAAATGGTCGATTAATTGGAGTTAAAAATGTTCAAAAATCAAATCCAGATGATGAACTTCCTCCAGATGCAATAGTCTATGAATCATTTTCAAACATAACTAATCTTGATGAACCTCCTTATCGAGAGGTATACCAACATGTAACATTTGATTATACATTTTCATCATCAGCAATTTTCTATAGTGATTATCCAACAGGAATTAAATGATTTGAATCGAAAGGACATGTATTTTACATTAAGAATTATCGAGATTTAGTTCTAGGAACCGGTGAAGATTGTCCTCCTCTTATTCAACCAAATGGAGTAATATTTAAGCCAAAAATTGGAATATTTAACATAATTGCATGGCCAATAATTCCACAAAATTCATTTTGTCAACAGAGAAGTTATGGAAAATGTAACTGTGATACAATAGATGTTATTTATGGATATAGAAACAAATATTTCCATTATGATATCGAAAAGAAAGAGCAATATAAAAATCTTCGGAATTGTTATTCTGTTTATAATCCATCACAGGAATCATGGAAGACTTGGTATGATAATGCAAATATTTATAATAATGGATATGATACACTCTTTTACTTGGGAAATTATCAAGTTACTGATGCGGAACGTGATGCAACCATAATGGCACATTATCCGCAAAATGTTGGTGAGTTTTTGCTGAAAGAAGCAACAGTTTCAAATCAAGTCAACGTAAATATTGGTATTAATGAATATGAATGCCAACCTAATACAATTATCAATCTATCATATACAGGACAAAACAATGATTTAATGCTATTTTCAAGTGATAAAGTCGGTATTTTCTATGATATTGACACACCAAAACAAATACCAATTTCAATAAAGGATCATTATTTAGTAACTGTTGGAGCATTGTCAAAAATTCATGTTCATGTTATTGTAGGATTAAAGAAAAATTATAATATTGTTCATTTAGTTGCAAATGCACAAACACAACAAATTTCAAGATCAGGGGAAGTAACAACAAATCAAAGAGTTTTTTATGTGTTTGTATTCGGAGATGATCTTTTGGAAGTTACATTCATGAGATATCCAACATCAAATGATACATTATCATACTTAAATTCGTATTATTTGGATGGTGAATCCACAGAGATGACATCAGAAAAAGAAGAATATACAGTTTTGAACACAAACTTCGTCATTTTAAAGATTATGCAACAGTCAACGAAACACAACGGATTATATGGTATCAAGGAAGTTAAGGGTGCACCCGTATGTACGTTTATTTGAGAGGAGGAGGATTACCCTCTCAATTTTGAGGGATTCGTTAGTTTATTTTCTCGATGAATATGCAATAAAATTTGATTTTTACCTTATCAATATACTTCATATAATATACACATGTTCATGTAAAAACTTTTTTCCAAAATCCTCAGGAATTAAGGGATTTTTGAATTTAAGAATTTTTTTCGAATTTTTTCGAAAAAAATATTTTCAGAACAGCCTTAACGGCTAAGATTTAGGAACAATGTTAAGTATCAAAAAGAAAGGAGGTCTGATATAGACAACATATATCGTTGAAGGTTGAAAAAATCTCTAATATTTGAGCCAAAATTTCAAATTTTAATTTTTTGAAAAAAGAGGCCACCCGTATGTACGTTTATTTGAGAGGAGGAAGATTATATTTTTGAAAGGGTGAAACATTATGAATATGTTAATTATATAATAATATGTATTATTATAAAAAAGAAAAAATAAAGCACGTTAAAATTTTTCTTTCTTGATTTTTTACAAAATCTACTTAGAATTATGCAAAATATGACTAAATAATTATAAATTTCAAGTTAAATTTTAATTTTGATAAATAATTTAAATTTCAAAATATCAAGTTCAGTTCGACTATGTATGTAGTAATTCCTCAATAAAGTGCCAAAACCCTATTAAAATATATGAACATTTTCAACATTTTAATGTTTTTATTTAAAAATTTGTTGGAATATGAGCTTCAAACAATTATTATGTAAATAAAAATAATTAAATATATGTATTTATTCGTATTACAACCGTAGTAAGTCGATTCTTCCTTTCTTCTACTGAGTTTTGAATTTGATTTCGAATTGTAAAGAGATTCAAAGGGAAAATACTAGCGGATAAAAACTACCTCCATGAAAGGGTCATAATGGAGTCAAGTTGTATTTTTTGATATTTTTTGCTTTTCGAGCCTAAATAGGTAGCCAAGATAATGCTTAAAAATAAGGTTCTAAATTCTGAAGTTTACATGATCCTCTCGTGTGCACCCTTCAATACATGAATCCAAATAATCAAAAGTATAATTCTTTATCTATTCCAGGAAATAATGGATTGGATCTTTTTGGCACATGTGATAAATGTTTAACAAAGGTTTATGTTCCAGATAAAGTTCCGGAGAAGAAGGAAGAAAACGTTCCAAGTGGTAAATATGCTATGACACCGGAAGAGGAAGATTATAAAATCGGTAAAGGCAAGTTAGTTGTTTTGAGTTATGATGCATCGTCCAAATTAGAAATCACAGCTAAGATCGGCGATCATTCCGTTGATGTTAGTGGCAAGAAGAAATCCGCCGTCCTCTTCACAGAAGAAGGATATCTTACGATCACAAACAAGAAGAATAACAACAACAATAAGAAATCACAAGTCTTCATGTACATATACGACATCTCTAATTATCCTCCATTCGACTACTGGATCTTCATCACGGGCACACCGACGATCCAAGCTAAAGATTTCGGTGTTGACAGCAAGCACTTGTTGGTAAGCGCATCGCGATCTTCGCATCTTTCTTCAAGTCGACATCGACACTGAACATCAAACTTCCTAAAGGCGCAGATGCTAAGTTCTACTCACTCGACGGTAGTGATGCAAACATCCGTCGTCACGCATCAGAAGTCGAAGACTTTGTTCAGACAGAGCCAACAGTCAGCGTCATCACACCATCATCAGAAACAGAAGTTGAACAGATCTCATTCGAGATCCACACAGAAGATTATCCAGAACTTGCTATTGAAGTTTCTGCAGTATCAGACATCAACAATATCTCTGTTATTCCAGAATCATCTCAATCACCAACACAAACACCATCATCATCAAGCGATAAGAAACTTTCAGTTGGTGTCATCATCGGCATCTGTGTTGGATCAGTTGCAATCATCGGTATCATTATTGTTGTTTCAATTATCATTGTCAAACGAAAGAAGCAATCTCGTGTCATTGCTAATGATGATTCTTACTCTGATGACAATCATAACTCTGAAACAAACAACACAATCAAAACTAATAACTAATTTATTATTTTATCATATATTAGTTTTGTTGATATTTTATCATATTCATCATATAAATATTAATCTTCACATTTTAATGTTTTTTTTACACAATTTATTAGTAGTATATGATGCGGGTTGTGTAACTTTTTTTGTAATCGTAAGAATTCTCACATAATTGAATGATTTTTGAACATACTTCCGAATAGCAGATTTTAAAAATTTATGAATAATTTATAAAAAGTTTTTATTCCTACAATTCCTATATTACCATTAATAAAAAGAATATATTTTTGACGAAGTGAAGATTCGCACTTCGTCACAAAACTCCGAAAAAATAAAGTTAGATTTTTTTATTTAATATAAAATGTATGGAAAAAGAATAATATCTGATTTTGAACATTATTTGATTGATTTACTAATTGATCCACAAAGCTGTTGTAAAATTAATTTTGAATTTAAAATTAAAGGAACCGTAAATTTTGTATTTATTTATCACTTAAAAGAATATGACCGATATCATAATTTGATATATGAAACTAATATAATATTTGAAGATAACAAACTTACAAGCTTCGAACATGAAAATGATATAATATTCGAAGATGAAAAAAAGAAAGAGATTGAAAAGCAATTCAATGAATGCCTTTTAAATACATATGCGCACATTATAAGACATAAAATGAAATTAATTCCTTATTAATCAAAAATATTTTTTATCTTTATATAAAGATGACAAATAGAAAATTTTTCATTTTATATCTATTATTGCCCAAACGTGTATGGACTACATGTAGAACTTAAAATAAAGGAAAGGGATACATATGAAGAATATATAAAATTTTGTAGAAAAAACGATTATATACCGGAGTCAAAGAATATATTCTTGCAAAATATAAAACCTATTATAAAGGTCGGAAAGATTAAATTTCCGTGCATAGTAGAAATATACTTAGATGATGTATGTGACGAATTTCACAGACTAAATGAAAAAAGGACTTTATATAAAGATTTTGTTAAATTTCTTATTGAAAATTATTTGAAGCCTGAACATGTGATTCCAAAATATCACCGATGATATTTTAAAAAATAAAATAAATTATATTTTTTAAATAAAAAATAATTTTTATCTGATAGAAATAATACCTACAAATGACGGTATATAAAAAATTGACTTCTTACGTAAAATTAAAACTAAGTTAAATTTATTTTTTTATTTTTTATTTTATAATAAATGAGTATAACAACTAATTCATTGAAATCTTTAAAGTTCACTAATTCAGAATTAGAAAATATTTTAGAAAATTTTGGAGACGGTTCTTATCCAACATATATGCAGAATGTGAAAGAGTTTTCCAGATTGTTGAATGAATTTAAATATAACGGACCAATTACTAAAAAGGCTATAATGAGATATTTATATCCCAAAAAAGTTGAAAAACAGGAGAATATTCCTCTTTATGGTCCAGAGGACCTGGGCTCAGAGAGCCTTGAAACACCTCCTGAATATTTTGAAGAAAAAATTAAACAAGATGAATATTATAACGATGAGATTGAGAAATTGGAACAATTAAGAAATGAAATAGATGAAAGAATTAGTGAATTGAGAAATGCTGAGAATGAAGTAGAGGGTTTAATGAATATCCCAGCTTCAGAATCAGAAGTTCAAAAATCACATGAGGAAAGATATAAAAATTACTTTTTGGAATCTACTAAAAATTTATTAGATGGTGATATTGACGAAACACTTTCAGAAGAAGGCACAAAATTTATTCATAAACATAAGCTTCAGTTTATTGACGATGGAGATTATCCATGTATATTACTTTCACCTCCTCTTGATTCTGAAAAATTCAAAAAAGCACTGAAAAATGTAACATATGCAACAAATACGATTAAGAAAGAAGACCATGATATTTACACAAATTATTATTTAAATAAATGTACAGGTGTTGATAAAGTTTTTGATTTGTTAGATAAAATATCAAAAGAAACAATTGGTACATATAAAATTTTATGCGATTGTGGTTTCATTATTGAAGATACCAATAATGTTTCATATGAAAGAACAGCACCGAAGGAAGACGAAGTTGAAAGGTCTATACCATTCGTTATTAAGAACATAAAAGATATGAAAACTTATAAACATTATATTTATTCATTTATTTCAGAAAAAATGGAAGCAACCCATAAAACATCATCTCATCATTTTATAGCTATTCATACATTCCTTTTCAAAGTTGTGAAATTAAATAAGACAGGAATTAGATTTAATGTATCAGGGTACGCATTCTTGAGTAAATTAAAATGTATTCGTCACGTCGCAGATGATAAAAATTTATGTGTTCTTAATTCATTTTATGGACTTTAGCCCTGGACTCTCTGAGTCTCGGACTTTAAAAAAATAAACTTTATTTTTATTTATTTTTTAATTTTTATTCTTACATAAATGAACAAAAATGGAACAGCTAAAATGAATGATAATCAAATAAGAGCCGAAGGTAGAAGGTTATTTAAACGCTTCTATAACATTCCTGATGGTGTTAATCCTAAAACTCGTAGAAGTTATTTAAATGAAGCCATAGATGCATATGAAGGATTTGACATTTCATCAGAAAGTGAGAGGTTAGCAAGAATGTTAAACGTTAATATTGATTTTTATTATTGTGACCCTCAACCAGAAGACGTAGACATTAACAAGGTAGACTTTCCATTAGTGGAATCAATAATGATAGATCCAGAATTTGAAACAGTAAATATTTTATTAACACAGAGTCCATGTGGAAAACTTCACGCTGACAGAATTACAGACGTTGAAGCACTCACAGGATATAAAGTTTGCCCCTTTTGCAAAGAAGAAGTATATTCTATCCGTGATGATCCAGAAAGGAAAAACCAAAGAAGATTTTTAAAACATTGTGAGAAATGTAAAGAAAATAATGGAAGATTAATTCAAGACGTTCAATTGCAAAACACACAACAACCATATGCACCACATATCACGAAACAGAAGATATATCAATGGCTATTAGCACATAATTTGCAGGAATATTATAAACCAACAAGATATTATATTACTTTTGACTTCGAAACATTAGAGACTAAAGAAGAACTTCAACTTTCTGAATGTGCAACTTTGAACGCTTACTTAAAACCATTTATGGTATCATCAACTGTCAAAATAAAGCCGCAAAGCGGCGAGGTCGTAGACCGTGATAAAACATTTACGAGGAATTTTTGCTTAACATCAAGTGATTCGTTCATCTCTGATTGGATTGAATTTTTATTTTCAACCTGTTCATTAGTTGCTAAATCAAATATTGAACAATATGAAGAATTAATGAATACATTAAATGAGAAACAAAAGGAAGCAATGAAAGAGCTTTTAGATGAAGAATTTAATAAAGTGAATATCATAGGTTTTAATTCGGGAAAGTTTGATTTAAATTTAATTCTTCATGATTTAAACACTGCAAAATGGAAGATAAAATCAATGCTGGGTTCTTCTTCTCAATTTAAGCAAGTCATAGTAAAGAAAACAAACTGTCCATATGAATTAAGATTTATTGACATCAGAAATTATATAGCGGGTGGAACATTAGACCAATTCACTCAAGATTTCGGAAACAATAAATCACGTGTTAAATCCTTTTTCCCTTATCAATTCATCACATGGGAGAATTACGAAGATGAATTATATAAAAGGAACCATTCACTCAAGATTCATTTTATTCAGCATTAACACAAGAAACAATATCCGATTCAGATTATCAAATATATCTCAATGATGCTAAAAATTTTGAGAATAGATTAGAATATTTTATTCATTATTGCAATAAAGACGTTGAAATTATGATTGACCCAATTGATAAAATTATTGAAGAAACATTTGTTTATAAAATTGACATGCTTCATAATCTTTCTTTATCATCGAATGCATCAATGATTCGTTACGCGTTAGCATATAAGAACTTCAATCCTAACGAAACATATCCAGAAGAAGAAATGTGGAATCAAGTTTTGAATTAACAAAAAGTATTGGAAATATAAAATTGAATCATATAAGAAACAAGATGAAAAGCGAAAGGATACTAAAAACAATGTTTCAATGGATGACTATCAATACTATCACGATTTAATCCTTTCATCTAAATGCAAAATGTGTGGTAAAGCGTTTACATATGCAAATAAACCAACATTGGATAGAATCGATAATGAAAAACCACATACCAAAGAAAATTGTCAGTTAATGTGTTGTTATTGCAATGTCGTAAAATCAAATAAAGATGAAGATGTTCAACGTTTAAGAATCAATTTAAGAAATTATGCATTAAAAAATAATTTACCAATGACTTTAGATTCAGTTGAAGCTTATCACATTCTCCGTAATGGAATTACTGGTGGTCTATCAAATGTTCAACATCGTGTTAATCTTAAAGGAATCACGCACATTAATAAACTTTCATATAATCCAGAAACTAAAACTGTATCAAATGAGGACACCACCAACATTATGACTCATTTCGTTGGAGTTGACTTTAA